GTAAGGAAAGCGAAGAAAAATCAACTATTGAGCAGTTGGCTGCAATGAAGCTGGATTTTGAGAAGTATGGGAGGCTCCTAAATCATCTGGAAGCTACGGTTTCTTCAACTCACCCTTCCAATAGTACATCATCTTCATCGGCTTTTGCTCACTCAGGTACTCGTGCTTCTACGAATCATGCTTCAGCTTTAGGTAATCGTAAAATCCCTTGGATTATTGATTCCGGTGCATCAGACCATATGACCATCCTATCTAACCTGTTTTGCTCATATCACCTCCTCTCTGGGAAAGAGAAAATATCCCTTGCCGATGGGTCCCTTGCCCCCATCTCTGGTAAAGGTGATATAAAGACCTCTTACACCCTGTTCTTATCTTTTGTTCTTCATGTCCCTAAGCTTAACACAAACCTCTTACCTGTTAGTAGCTTAACAAAGTCAATGAATTACATCATAACATTTTATTTCCCACTCATTGTGTTTTTTAGGACCTACAGTCACAGAGGATGATTGGGAGTGGCCATGAGGCAAACGAAATATACTTGCTGGACACACCAGATCAAGCTTTGAGACCACCTCATGGAGTTGCCTTAGAGTCAGTCGTGTCAGAGTCTGTTAACAAAATTTTATTATGTCATTTTCGGTTTGGTCACTTGTCCTTTTCTGCTTTGAGTCATCTGTTTTCAGATATGTTTAAAGGAGTGTCTTTATCRAGTCTTCATTATGAATCATGTGAGTTGGCAAAGCATTGTAGACATTCCTATTCAATTAGCAATAAAAGATCATTTTCTTATTTCCATATTGTTCACTCTGATGTGTAGGGGCCATATCACATGTCAACCATGGGGGGGTTACAAGTACTTTATCCTTTTCATTGATGATTATTCACGTTACACTAGGATTTATCTCATGAAATCCAGGGATGAAGTACTAGCTATTGTGAAAAATTTTCATGAACTCATCATCACCCAGTTTAATACACGTATTAAAATATTCCACTCTAACAATGCTAAGGAGTATTTTGAGAGAACCCTCTCCACCTATCTTGAAACTTTTGGGGTTACTCATCAAAGCTCTTGTTCCTACACTCCACAACAAAACAGGGTGGCGGAAAGAAAGATCAGGCATGTGGTTAAGGTTGCCAGGTCCCTTTTATTTGCATCCCATGTTCCTATAAAGTTTTGGGGAGATGTTGTTCTTACTRCTACCTTTCTGATCAACCRTATGCCCTCCCGGGTCCTTGGCTTTAAAACCCCTTTTAGTCTTCTCTTCCCGGATGATGATCTATTTTCTCTTCATCTCCGTGTGTTTGGGTGTACTTGCTATGCGCATATTCATAGTTACCAAAGGCAAGGCACAAGTTTGAACCCAAGGCTCATAAGTGCGTGTTTCTGGGATATGCTTCCACATAGAAGGGTTATTGCTGTTTTGATCCGGTTCGTGGCACCCGCTTTGTATCTCGGGATGTCACCTTTGCAGAGTTGACTCCCTTCTTCAGTATTCTCTTGAGGGGGAGAAATCTAATGAGTACTTTGCTATGTCTCTAGCTGTTCCGCTTCCCATTCCTTGTGAGTCCGATCATGGGGTGTCCACCTCTTCCACTGGACCTACCCTTGATGTCCCTGCTCCCCCTCCTACTTCTGCTCCTGCTCTCCAGAGGTGGTACCAAAGGCGGAGATTCAGACATGTGCAGGTTGTTTCCACTCTTTCAGAAGAACATTTTGCCACTCCCATCATTCTTAAGGAAACATGTTAGTCCTCTACTGACCCATCTCTGACTGTTCCAGACCTTGACCTTCCTATTGCTCTTCGCAAGGGCAAGCGGAAGTGTACAACCCATTGTATATCCAAACACTTATCTTACAGCCTTCTCTCCCCTTCCTACTACTCTTTTCTTGCCTCTGTTTCTTCCCATGTGATACACAGGTCTGTACCGGAAGCTTTATCTTAAGCTGAATGGAGGGATACTATGATGACCGAACTTGATGCACTGCATAAGAATCATACCTGAGACATTGTGGATTTGCCGGAAGAAAAGGAACCAGTGGGTTGTAAATGGGTGTTTACTATTAAATATCACTCTGATGGCTCGGTTGAGAGGTTTAAAGCTCGGTTGGTTGCTAAGGGTTACACCCAAATGTATGGCATTGACTATCTGGAGACATTTGCTCCTATAGCTAAGATGACTTCAGTCAGGGTTTTACTTTCTCTAGCARCTACTTTTGACTGGCCCCTACACCAGTTTGATGTTAAGAATGTCTTCTTGAATGGAGAACTGCATGAAGAGGTCTATATGTCTCTACCTCCAAGAGTGTATGGGAAAAAATGAAAGGCAAGGTGTGTAAACTACACAAATCCCTTTATGGTCTCAAACAATCTCCTCGGGCTTGGTTTGAGAGATTTCAGGCTGCTATTGTCTCCTTCGGCTACATTAAAAAACAATCTGATCATACACTGTTCTTGAAGAGAAATGACTCTCTGGTGACCTTCTTGATTGTTTATGTTGATGATATTGTGGTCACTGGTAATGACATTGAAGAGGCCAGTAAACTAAAAGCATTTCTCAACTCTGAATTTGACATCAAAGATTTGGGAGGTCTTCGGTATTTCTTGGGCATTGAAATTGTTCGACCTAAGGATGGTATATTCATATCTCAGCGCAAATATGTCATTAATCTTCTTGTTGAAACTGGTAAACTTGGAGCTAAACCCATCTCCACTCCCATTGATCCTAATCATAAATTTTTTGCCACAGATGGTGTACCTTTGTCTGATAAAGAAGTATTTCAGAGACTGCTTGGGAAGTTGTTATACCTTTGCATGACTCGGCCAGATATTTTCTATGCAGTAAGTGTTCTCAGCCAGTTTATGCATTCTCCCAGATATACTCATTTAGCTGCTGCAAAAAGGGTTCTGTGCTACTTGAAAGGTACTCTAGGGAAAGGTATTCTATTTGCTAAGCATAGTCACATGAAGCTGAAAGCTTTTACTGATGCAGATTGGACAAGATGTATTGATGACAGAAGGTCCACCTCTGGTTATTGTGCTCTGGTTGCTAAGAATATTGTTTCTTGGAGGAGTAAGAAACAATCAGTAGTTGCTAGATCTTCAGCTGAAGTAGAATACAGGGCAATGGCTCATGGTGTGTCAGAATTACTATGGCTACGATCCCTTCTAGAGGAATTAGGGGTGGACTATGAGAAACCAATGATGCTCTATTGTGACAACCAAGCTGCTATCAACATTGCACACAATCCTGTTCAACATGACAAAACTAAGCACATTGAGGTTGATAGGCATTTCATAAGGGAAAGAGTCTCTTCAGGAGAAATTTGTTTACCATTTATCACATCAGAAGAGCAACTGACTAATATCTTGACCAAGGGAGTTCCCAAGGGGAAATTGACACACTATATAAGCAAGCTAGGCATGATTGACATCTATGCTCAGTTTGAGGGGGAGTGTAAAGAGACTGGGCCGAATGGGCCCTAACAGCCTCTCATGTGACATCCTTTATTTTATCTTTTATTTTATGTTGATGGGCCTCACTTAATGGGCCTGCTATTTGTTCTTATTTTACTTTCTTTATGTAACTGCCATGCTGGCCGCCCACTTAAGGGTATACTTGTCATCGTCAATATTTTAGAGATTAATAAAAAAATAGGGTTAGAGGAGAAGGGTGATTAATTCGACTTCTTCTTCTCTTACCTCTTCTCTTCGCCATCTTCCTCTTTTATACAGTTATTCAGATCTGTTCTATTCTGCTAATCACTAAATTTAGTATTGATATTAGAGGACTGATTTACATCTCAATTGTATTTGCATCACATTGCATTGCAGACTTTGCAGTTTTTTACCTTGTGAATGGTTGCCCTAAGTTTCCTCCAAAGATAGGGAAAAGAATTTTATGGCACGAGGGAGGGAGAAACTATTTGAGAAAAAAATTGCCACATGAAGCAGGGTCACTCCAGATGTGGACCATTTTGAGCTTGCTTGTGTCAAAATATGCACCAACAGGTTGCAAACCTCTTATTTGAATGGCATGCATGGCATCATGTTTAGCATCTAGTCATCTACTGGTCTAATATGTCAATCTCAAGATCCTAATCTGTCCAATTAGCCACATTGAATAGCATCCTTTATCTTTGCTAGAACCAAGATGGGTAATATGGGCTAACACACCCCCAAGTCACAAATAAACACAGTCAGTTGCCATACATCTGGTAACAGTACAGAGTTGCACATCTAATTTCAATTATCTCTTTGAGTCTTGAGTGATCCTGCTTCATGTGGCTATTTTGGTAAAATAAAAACAAGGAACATAAAAATAAAACTGGTTCAACATTTAATCAACATCTAAATATGGTTAACCAGATGAACTGAATTTGTGATCCATGAAGCCTTTAGTGGTAGAAGTAGAATTATGCGGCTTTCTCAATTGCTTCGATGCATTCCAACACTGTTGCCTTGTTTGACATTGCTGACATTAATGCTTCATGAGCAACCTTGTTGTTTTTCAAGAGGGATCCAGAAAACAAAACCTGCATGGTTTTTTGTTTTTCCTTAGAATGATCAGCACATCATAAGAAGCATGCTCCATGTGCGCTGACAACAATATGCAAAAGCAATGCTGACATAACTGAACCTCTAACAACTTTATGCACAAATGAGACAATCTGGATGAAGTTGTAGATAGTAGGAGTCAATTTTTGCTACCCCGTTTCAAAATTTTGGCTACGAAATTTGAGAAGACATGCATATAAGGAGTGAAGAACTCACAGCCCATCTGGTAAGATTCTGTTGCTGTTCTTTGCTTATCTGTGGCTTGCTCCTGTTTATAAATCTCTATGGAGAGCATAAATGGAATTGGTTAGATGAAGTTTTAAGAGCTCTAGGAAGCATGGAAATGGAATGGAATTTAACAAACCTGAAGTGTGAAAAGATCAGCAGATTGACCAACCACTTTATCATATTTTAAGCCTTCTGCTGCCAGCCCAGCCATTGATACCACTGCCAGCCTGATGAGGTAGTCAGTTTCCAAAGTTAATTTTTCCTTTTAGAGTCCCTCAATTACAGCTTTTTCCATACTCTTCTTTCTTGTTCTAAATAATCAGTTGAACACTTGAACTTTGTTAAAACAAAAGGCAGGAAGAAACATACATGTGTATTAGGGGATAAAGCTCATAACAATTAAGAAAATAAAATTAGGAGGTTCATCAGAGAGGGCTTTTGCATGACTTGTAACTTTTCAACTTAGAAAGAGAGAAGAACGCAAATGGATTTTGTCAGATCCCTACATCTAGAACTGAAAGTTAGTGGAGGATTGTTGCAACTATTTACACAATCTCTTTAGTTCAATTTATAGAAATAGAAGATATTAATTAAATTTGGATTTCCAATAATTATATCTAATCAATTTGATACCTGTCTAGTTCCTTTGCATCAAGCTGCCCACTGTATATCAGCTTCTGCAGCCTTTCATCAACCAGATTGACATGCTCTTTTCCAATATCCAGTGAATACCCCAGAATAGGAAGGCCAATCAAGTAAGCAACTGACTCAAAGGAAATTTGATTTCATCAGATTTTTGTCTTACAGAGGAAGAAATGTAACTGTAAAATGAAAAGAGATATCAATAAATTACTAATTAGAAAATCCAAGCCACATCAATGGTAGAGCATCATTCGTAACTAATATCAGACGCTAGTGGATGTAGAATACTAACCAAGAAAAGAAAAATTGTAATGACCAATTTGATGATGCCAACAATCTAATATATCACTAAGTTTTGAATGCCAAAAAACATCATAGTGAGATAGAAAGCTATCAGTTGAATGGATGGTAACCTTACTGGATTAAATTTTCATGGTGTTTAATGTTTCAATAAGACATTTTTATTTGAGGTAGAAGAGGCAGAAAAACGAGGTCTTGGTGTAAAATGGGAAGAAATATATCTGAAATCTCTCAGAGAAAAAAAAATCTCTTTTGTGTTATTTTGAGGGCTATAGGAAAGAGCCTAAGGGAAATGTATAGCAGGGAGTTAAAATGTTTTTTCCACCTTGCTTTGTGCTTTAGGGGGATGACAAGATTGGAAGTAGAATGGGACCTTTTCCAGTCATAAAATTCCCATTCTTATCAAAAACACAATGGTATAGATGTTCCTAGGAGCAGGGAAATGCACCAACCTCATGCACATAATATACTTAGTGCACACAGAGACAAATAAGCATGCATGCAGGGATGCAGATTCATGGTTTTCTGTGTCTTCACTTGTGCAAAACACTCTTTATATCATATTTTGTTAGCATAACAGTATATGTACCCCTTACAATGTCTCTTAAGCCTCAAGTTAACAGTTTTACCACAAGATATATTTATTTCACTTGCATCATTTTATAATAAGACATCTTTGACTACTGATTGTTTTATATCAGGACGAGATGCTTTCTATATAAATTCTTCTCAATAAAGATTACCTAAAAAATGGGCTGCTTCATGTCTTGCAACTCTTTCCTGATAATCAGGAAAAAAAGATGAAAATCCACCAATAGCAGCCTGAAGAAGCCTACAAAAGTAAGTAGAATAATTAGGTTTGAGGTGATCTGTCTGACTGTCATTGCAGCATATAAACTATTACGAATCCACAACAGAATATGAATTTCTTAAAGCTTCAAAACCTTCAATACTTGAGGGATTTTTCTTTCTAACATGGAATCTTGAAAACCCTTTTTCTTTCTAAAAATAAATTTTGAAGAAGATCCTATTCACGAACCATTCAGGAATTTAAGTCAATTATAAAACTGTAAATGGAGCATCCTCATGGATCTTAATATGCAAGATGCCTATCTCCTGCAATTGACAAAAAATCCCTCTTGAAAGGCAATTGATTATATTTTTAAAGCCTTTAAAGGATGTGGTTGGTGTATTATAAAGCTTGTTCAAACCAAGATTGACCTTCTAAAACTGACCACTGATCCTCTTCCCCAGAAAAAAAGAAATTAGAAAGAAAGATTTAATGTTTGTGAAAATTCTGGAAAAGGGATGACCCTATACAATGAAGAAGACTATTTAAATCCTTCCAAAGCTTCCAACAGAGTACAAACGAGATCATGTTCAAGAGGATTTGATCCTGCAACCTAGAGGAAAAACAAGATCATGACACATATATTGTGACATCCCAAAATAGTTCAAGCACATTACCATGAATAGTGCAAGGGAGAATATCCAAATTTTGGTTTCCCTTTCCAAATCACAATCAATAAATAGCTTATTCACATTTTATTCCCTTTATCTGCACATTATGCACCAATAGGTCAAATGAGATCCACAAGACTTCAGATGACATCTTGTCAAGACATTTTGATAAATCATGATTTCCTTGGATAAAATCAACCAATCAATTCCATTATTTCTAATGCCAATTCTGATAATATGTCTTCCAGTCTCAACCTTGAAGCTTGAGTTGCTCAGCATATCAGATGGCTTCACTGTTGTTTATCAACTGATGGGATGAAGATACCTTTTTAAGATCTCAACCTCTAAAGTCCACACTTATAAGTAATCAAGTCCTCCAAAAGGACAAACATGAATTTGGAAACTTTCTAGTCTAAAATTAGAATGCATTTATTTTAGTGGAGTGACAGTAAGAAATCAAATAAAATTCAAATTTATTGGGTTACTTCAGATAGCCAGGACCAACATTGAGTAATGGCCCTTCTATAGTGTAACCAGAAGCTGAAAGAAGCCAATGCCTTTGGCCTATAAGACTCCTGCACTCCCTAGATCAAACAGATATTTTTTTTATTCTTTTTTGAAGAAAGGTAAACTGTTATGGACGCATTCGTGGGGAAGAAGTACCACCACCGGCTGCAGCAGTAACGTGGGACCCTCATCAGATTATCTAGCTAGCCACAGTTCATCTTACCTTATCTTTATCTTATCTGCTTTCTTACTCTTATCTTATCTGTTCCAATAAGGATTAGTATAGAGTCTGATTTATCTTAGGGAGTTTTTATCCTTCTTGAGTAGGGAGTCTTATCTAGGAGTCTTATCTATCTTATCTGTAAGCAGTTTAGTTAGTCTTATCTAGGAGTCTTATCTATCTTATCTGTAAGCAGTTTAGTTAGTCTTATCTAGGAGTCTTATCTATCTTATCTGTAAGCAGTTTAGTTATCAAGGAGTCTTCCTACAAGGAGGACTCTTACYTCTTGTAATCTCCTATTTAAGGAGCTGAAATTATTGAATAAAGATATCAAATTTCCARTCAACAAAGAGAGTAAAAGGAGAGTTCGGTGATCTCTTGGACAAATCACCCTCTAGGACGCCAAGATAGGTTCAGCTAGGAAGGGGAGGAACAAGGGAAAATAGGAGCTTTTCCCCGTGGACCAACCCGTGACGAGATCCTACGCCCGGGCCCATAACAATTTGGTATCAGAGCCTACCGCCATGGGAGATCTGGAGCAGCTATCATCTAGGGTCCACGAACTGGAGCATAGGCTCGTGGAAACCAACGTGGAGGTTCGTGAGGTCAAAGACGATGTCCAGGAGCTGCGACGCTTGTTGGAATCGTATTTCTCTAACAAGGAGAGGAATCCAGAAGGGGCTGTAACCACAAACAGCCACCGACCAGACTTGACGGAGTCATTCGGCGAACAGCAGGTCGTCCCCCCGGTAGCCGCGGTCGTTCCCAAGTACAGCAGGCTGGAGTTCCCTTCATACAGCGGCGCCGGAGATCCTTTGGGATGGCTGTACAGATGCGAGCAGTTCTTCTGCAACCAACGGAGAGGGGACAGCGACAAGGTAAGCTTGGCTGCATTCCACATGATGGAGGAGGCGTAGCTCTGGTTTTATAAATTGGAGCAGGAGGAACCCGGGCTCAGTTGGACCCAATTCAAATCCGACTGCCTCCTCAAGTTTGGGCCCCCATTGACGAGCAACCCGTTGGGTGAACTGATTAACCTCAAACAGATGGGAACGGTGGCTAAATACCAGCGCCAATTCCAGACCCTCCTCGCCAGAGCAGCTTCGGTACGACCGGACCAGCAGGTAGACATGTTCACCGCAGGGTTAGCAGAACCCTTGAGGGTGGATATGGAGATGCAACACCCCCCTAACCTGGTTACAACCATGAATCTAGCTCGCGCCTTCGAATGAAAGGTGCAGCTCAGCCGCGGAACCTTCAGTATGGGGCGGCCTCCAACCGCATGGGCATCCCCGGAACCACTCGGAATGGCTCCATCTTCAGTAGCCAGCCAAGAACGGAAACCACAGACGAGCCACAATTCCAGATCAGCATCCAGTGAGGGGAGCAGCGTTGTTGCACCCCCTATTAAGCACTTGTCCAGGGCTGAGATGGCRGAACGCAGGGMGAGGGGACARTGTTTTAATTGTGATGAACTCTACTCAGCAGGGCACAAGTGCAAGAGACTTTTCTGTCTCCTGGTGGAACAAGAGGACGATGTGGATGAACCCCCTTCAT